GTGTATATATATATATGTGTATATATATATGTATGTGTATGTATGTGTATATGTGTATATATGTGTATATATGTATGTATACATGTGTATGTATGCATGTATACGTGTGTGTGTGTGTGTGTGTATGTATGTATACATGTGTATATGTATGTATATATGTATGTATGTATACATGTGTATGTATGTATGCATGTATACATGTGTGTATGTATGTATGTGTATATGTGTATACATGTATGTATGTATGTGTGTATACATGTGTATGTGTGTATGTATGTATGTATGTGTGTATATATGTATGTATGTATACATGTGTATGTATGTATGCATGTATACATGTGTGTATGTATGTATGTGTATATGTGTATACATGTATGTATGTATGTGTGTATACATGTGTATGTGTGTATGTATGTATGTATGTGTGTATATATGTATGTATGTATACATGTGTATGTATGTATACATGTGTATGTATGCATGTATACATGTGTGTGTATGTATGTATGTATACATGTGTATATATGTATGTATGTGTGTATACATGTGTATATGTGTATATATGTATGTGTGTATGTATGTATGTATACATGTGTATGTATGTATGTATACATGTGTATGTATATATATAAATAAGATTAAAGATTTGCATTTGGGTTTCATCTTATGTTCACTGGCTCTGTTATCTGATGTGGCATTATCATGTGAAAGGGTTATTTGTGTTAGTGGTTGGCGTGTGCGTGTTGGTCTGCAAGGTTGTAGTAATGTAGAGCATTGTGATAGTTTCTTTCTAAATGCATGACTCTGGCCAGGGCTTTGGTGTTTGTAAGTCAATACTCCATCTCAGGCTTTTGAACGCCACCCACATTTCGCACACATGCCTTCGCTACAGATGCCATCACGTACATCTAACCTTCACAGTTAGCTTTTGCAGTTCATTTAATTTGGTGTCTTTTTTCAGCAACCGTGGAAGTGGCACAAAACTTGTTGAAACCTAAATCTATCTCGTCAGACTCAAAATAATGAGTGCTATAGTTTAAGGAATTAAGGCTGAATGTCCCTTATTCCTTGACTCCTCCCTGCTCTCAAAATCTTGCATAGATGTATTGCTGATGAGCCGCCCATTGTTAAGTGTGTGCGAACCTACCTACTTAACCTATTTTGGGACAATTGTGAAAATGCAAAAAATGTTTTCTGATAGGATGTGGTTTAGGGGTTAGGTTGCTTATAACTAGCTGATTAAAAAGTAGAAGTCTATACATAGCTAAATACACACATTTGTAAAGTACTCCATAAGTATCCATTTACACTTTCAGTCAAAAGTTTGTTTCTGATTCTGATCTTTAAAAAAGTAATCTAAAGATGTATGCTTAAATGCTTACAAATAATTTAAATGATACCTAGCTACATATTTTCAAAACTTAAATCAGATTGATTGTAATGGATGAGTAAAATGTAAAATATAAAATAACTGTCTAGCATACAGGTACTCAATGCTTCAGTTGAAATACAAATATCAGACAGCAGAGGACGCTAAACAACCACAGAGTACAGAGGTGATGCACTGTAGGATAGATATGCAATACTAGTCACATTGCTTACTAAATGCCCATGTGTACATTTTACTATTGTCGTATAATCTGTTAATGAAAAAGTCGATCCTGGTGGAAATTCCTTTTTTTTATATAGTAAATGGGGAAAAAATGAAATCAAAAAGACAAGGCACAAGTGAAAGTCTTCATTAATTATTGCCTACATTTTATCATGGCCAGTGTGTGAGTTAATCGCTGACTGCAAATATTTTAAATTTATGCGAGTATAATGACATACCATTTTGAAATTGATCTTGAAACATATACATTTGTGTATACAAATAATACATACTCTTTTGACTTTGGAGAATTTAGGGCTGGGCGATATAGCAAAAAAATGTATCAATGATATAATGTTTCATATCGTTCGGTATCGATAATTATGGACATTTTTTATAACCTTTTTTAAAACAAAGAGAAATATATATATATTTTTTTATTTAACCACTGTATTTTTAATTTATCCCAATTTATTGAGACAAACAACAAATATTTTTTGTTTTAACAAACACAAAATAAAAATTAAACATATCTAATTTCTAATGTTTTATATGCAGATTAAATAGGTCTTAAAGGGATAGTTCACCCCAAAATGAAAATTCTGTCATCATTAACTCACCCTCGTGTCATTCCAAACCTGTATGAGTTGCTTTCTTATGTTGAACACAAAAGAAGATATTTTGAAGATTGCTGGTAATCAAACAGTTGGTGGTTGCCATTGACTTCCATAGTATTTTTTTCCCTACTATGGAAGTCAATGGCAACCACCAACTGTTTGGGTGAACTATGGGTTCATTTTTGGGTGAACTATCCCTTTAAGGAAACTTTTGTCTTATCTCCCGAGGTCACAGGAGGGCGCAATTAGCAAAATAATAGTGCATTTATATTGTAAACGCAAGGAAATAACTGTTTATAAAAAACGTGCATTACGTCTAAATTAACTCGTAAAAATCAAATATAATTTTGTAAATTGCATAAACAATTATGAACAAAACAGCATCATGTATTTATGCATTGCTTAATTCAAAGAGCCAAAGAACCATTCACACAGATTGCATTTAAAAACATATGAGATGCAGTGAAAAGGAATAAACCTCCACAAATTCGTGACGTGTTTTCTAAAAGTTTAAACTGTTTTAACTTTGCATGGCTTTCTATACATCTCTTGTGTGAGTGCAGCAGTCATATTTGTCAGTCTAAAAAATGCGCTGAATATGCTTTCTGTGTGAATGGCTTGGTTTCGGTTTTAACCTAATCGAGATCTTCTCCGCATTGAGCTACTATATTTCTCAAATATGTTGAATGCATAACACAGCAGCGGCTCATCTCGTGGGCTAGACTAACAAAACATTAAAATGCAACAACGTTACATCATTATCTCCGCATCTCGCTCGCCACTGATGACACTCCCTGACGCACACCTAACATTCAAATGCAAATGTTTATTTTAAATTGGACTAATATTAATTTTTTATTCACAATCTCCTCATCACAGGCAGGCACAGCACTCATTTCAGCATGTGTTTGTGTGTGCTGTCTGCGTCACTCATAGCACGTGCCTATATCGTGCGCCATATCGAAACATTTTTCTATCGTTATTGAAGGTGTACCGTCGATAAATATCGATACCGTTTTATCACCCAGGCCTACTGGAGATTTTTCTTTTTTTTTCTTTTTTTTATGGCATGTAATCACTGAAAACACTTTCTTTGTAAAATCTGCAGCTCATCTATGAGGTTGTTTAATGATGGGCTCGTATTACAGGCAGTGACATCTTGGACCCCAGGCACATGTGTGCTGTCACCACCATACCGGATACTGCCATCATGCCTCTTAACAGCCCGAATGACCCAGCCACCGAGGAGCAGAAGCTACACGATAAGTGGCCCCATCAAATAAGCCAACATATTAAGGTGCTATTTACATGCCTAAAGGCTCTAAAGAGCTCACTGTGTGTTCATAAGGAAATAAATTATGCAACTCAGTCCTTAAAGGCATAGTTCACCCTAAAATGTCAATATGTTCTGTAAATGTTTACAGAATTTGGGTGAACTATACCTTTAAAGATATCATGCATTGACTTACTGATTTTCTTTTCTGGATTTGAATTGGATTTGAGTGTGAATTTAGATGGCAAACAGGAGCTACCTGTAAAATTTCCTTCATTTTCTATTCAGTAAACTGCATTTGCTTTCATTCCAATTCTAATTTCAACTCTGCTTTCTGTGGGGTGTGAACATTTTAATTCAGATTTCGAAAAAGACCAACACACACAATTTGAAGTGCACCAGAGTTTAGGATTAAGGGTTTGTTCTGATCCATAACCGTAAGTATGAGCAGTAGTGGTTAGTAATTACCAGCTTCTTCATCTACTGCTTCCTCCTTTTGTGTCCTCTGCCCCTCGCGAGAAGACCCACAGATGTCCCTTTCTAACAAACAGCACAGCTGTCTGGCCTGAGCACAGGAAGGACCATATTTGTGTGGAAGTATGCATCAGGTCAGGACTATGTTCTGTTGCCAGGGGAACAGTAGGAAGTGGGGTTTCTTGTTCCCAGAGAGTGGAGAAAGATAGAGAGACCCTGTACGATAAGTGGCCCCATCAAATAAGCCAACATATTAAGGTGCTATTTACATGCCTAAAGGCTCTAAAGAGCTCACTGTGTGTTCATAAGGAAATAAATTATGCAACTCAGTCCTTAAAGGCATAGTTCACCCTAAAATGTCAATATTTTCATGCTCAGCCTAATGTTGTTTTAAACTGATATTTTGTATGTTCGATCCCCAAAGTTCACCCTACAGGTTTGCAACTGCATAAGGGTGAATAAATGTTTACAGAATTTGGGTGAACTATACCTTTAAAGGTATCATGCATTGACTTACTGATTTTCTTTTCTGGATTTGAATTGGATTTGAGTGTGAATTTAGATGGCAAACAGGAGCTACCTGTAAAATTTCCTTCATTTTCTATTCAGTAAACTGCATTTGCTTTCATTCCAATTCTAATTTCAACTCTGCTTTCTGTGGGGTGTGAACATTTTAATTCAGATTTCGAAAAAGACCAACACACACAATTTGAAGTGCACCAGAGTTTAGGATTAAGGGTTTGTTCTGATCCATAACCGTAAGTATGAGCAGTAGTGGTTAGTAATTACCAGCTTCTTCATCTACTGCTTCCTCCTTTTGTGTCCTCTGCCCCTCGCGAGAAGACCCACAGATGTCCCTTTCTAACAAACAGCACAGCTGTCTGGCCTGAGCACAGGAAGGACCATATTTGTGTGGAAGTATGCATCAGGTCAGGACTATGTTCTGTTGCCAGGGGAACAGTAGGAAGTGGGGTTTCTTGTTCCCAGAGAGTGGAGAAAGATAGAGAGACCCTGTTTGTTGTGTTCTGAGGTGAAAGAGGGCAGCTGAAACGCCAAGAATAGACTCATTTGCTCTTTGTTGTTTGAATGGCTTCTTTGAATCACACATTAGATTAGATGCTATCGATCTACTGATGTGGTCATGTGGGGGCCATTTATGCCATTATATTGATGAGGGATTTGTTTATGGTCAGCCAGGTAAAAATAGTAAGTCTGATCGCATTGAAAAGCAATAGCACATCTCTGCTCCTCAAGCCACATGATTTGTGGTAGCATTCATGTCGGGTTACACGTTGTAATATGTAGGGTTGGGAGTTTGTTCAAATCAATAGTAGTTTTTTTATATGTCAATATACACTAAAAAATGCTGGGTTAAAAAGGGACAACCCCAGCTATTGGGATGTTTTGACCCAGCGGTTGGGTTGTGCTGGGTCAAAACAACCCAATAGCTGGGTTTGTCCCTTTTTAACCCAGCCCTGGGTTCTTTTTAACCCAGCATTTTTTAGAGTGTAGTGTTTCATTTTTAGTTTTCTTTAATATATCAAATTAAAATAAATAAATAAATGTTGCCTTGGCAACTAGCTGAAATAAAAATATATATTTTTATTTCAATTAATGTTTATTTTCTTTCAAGTAACAAAAATGTTTTTTAGTTTTTTTTTATTATAGTTTCAGTTTTGGGATGCGTCATGATGGATATTATAAATATTTGAGATGTATTTTTAATTGATCAATATCTGATGATTTAATTGTAAATGCTTCTTTACCTTATTAATGTTTTGATGCTTAAATTTACTATTTTTTTTTTTTTAATGATTTTTTTAATATTTAATTTATTTTGACAAAATCATATAAAATTGGGCATTTTAGTATTGTGTCAACCAAGAATTATAATATTGGGTCATCATCCCTAATTTTGATTATGATAAATTATTTATTAAGTTTGATGTTTACAAAAAACAATGTGCTTCCAAAAAGTGACAAGTACCACAAATAAGTTGTATTTACAAAAACAGTATGATTTATATTTCTATAGGTGCTTAAAATAACAGCTAATGTTCAGCTGATGGTGTATAATGTGGAAATGTTTGACAGGAGGCTTTAAAACAATGTCATCTTCAAAACAGCCAATGACCCAGTGAACTTAATCTCCATATCCCATCATTTTGACTGGCAGTTACTCTGGAGTTATGAGCAATAGCTCATTTCACATAGCCAATAAAATTCTCCACCAGACAGATCCCATCAGCCTGGGCCGGGGACCAATAGTGTGTCACTGCAAACCAAATCAGACAAAGCACAAAAATTACTCCCTCATCCTCTGGGTCTAAGACACTGGCTTATTTGTGTCCAGCGTTCTATATATATATATGCTGTTTTCAAGGACACGGATAATAGACGTCGTGATGGTGTTCAATTGTGTCTTTGATCTCTTGCTGTAACAATTAAATCTATTTAAAAGGAAAAACCCTCCTTTGGTGTGTAAACAACATTAGAACGGTCTATTTATGAGAATGTCGTTAGTGAGGGTTGGAAGTGTGTGTAGAGGGGGGGTCGTGGAGGGATGTGGACTGATTAATTTCAGACTGAGTCTGATTCATCACAGCCTGTCACCTGATTGCACTTTAAAAAGGTGCTCCTCTCCAGAAGCCAATCCGGTGCCATTCAGGCCAAATCCATCTCCCAAGGACAGTCAAATCAGTTCCTCTGCTGCTCCATGTGCTGCTTAGAAACTCACAAAAGATGACCGGGAGACTGTAGGCTACAAGGGCATTGACAGTTTCTTTTGTAAATCTTAATATGCTTTAACACGTACAGTATGTGACACGAAAACACATTTTATTCACCATTTGAGATGACAAAGAGAATGAGTTGTACTAATCAACATAAACTTAGCCATCAACAATGGTGGACATAAAAAAAAATCTCTTGAGGCTGAAGTCATAACACCAGCCTGTATATAAATGAATATCCGAATGTCTGTTCGTTTTGATAAATGTGTTATGTATATAAAACAACAATATTTGTAAATGACACAGATGGTTAGTATGTTTGAGGAGACTGGGGCTAGTTATTTTGGAAGCCTGTTTCCACCATTGAATGAAAAAAAAAGAAGGTAATTGCAACTTTTTATCTCGCAATTCTGACCTTTTTTTTCCTCAGAATTGCCTGATACAGACTCGCAATTCGGACTTTTTTTCTCAAAATTGTGTTCTGAGAAATGAAGAGAAATTTAAACTTGCAATTCTGAGAACATGTCTTTTTTCTCCTCGGAACTGGACTTTATAACTCACAATTGCAAGTTTATATCTCACAATTCTGAGAAAAAGTCAGTGCAATTGCGAGAAAAAAAGTCCGAGATGGGAGTTCAAAAGTCACAATTACCTTTTTATATTTTTTATTCAGTGGCGGAAACGAGCTTCAATAAGTATTTACTCCAGTAAATATTTATTTAAATACTGAACATTTTGGCTACAACATAAAGCTATTCAATTCTTTAACATGATTTCCTATTGGGGCATGGTGTCACCAAATGTCAGTGCATTTTATAAGAAACAAGTTTTTTTTCTTCATCTTATAGGCCTTTCAGAAAACTATTATAAAAAGCTGACTTCATGAAACAGCAGTTGAGGCTGAAGTCATAACACCAGCCTGTATATAAATGAATATTCGAATGTCTGTTCGTTTTGATAAATGTGTTATGTATATAAAACAACAATATTTGTAAATGACACAGATGGTTAGTATGTTTGAGGAGACTGGGGCTAGTTATTTTGGAAGCCTGTTTCCACCATTGAATGAAAAAAAAAAGAAGGTAATTGCAACTTTTTATCTCGCAATTCTGACCTTTTTTTTCCTCAGAATTGCCTGATACAGACTCGCAATTCGGACTTTTTTCTCAAAATTGTGTTCTGAGAAATGAAGAGAAATTTAAACTTGCAATTCTGAGAACATGTCTTTTTTCTCCTCGGAACTGGACTTTATAACTCACAATTGCAAGTTTATATCTCACAATTCTGAGAAAAAGTCAGTGCAATTGCGAGAAAAAAAGTCCGAGATGGGAGTTCAAAAGTCACAATTACCTTTTTATATTTTTTATTCAGTGGCGGAAACGAGCTTCAATAAGTATTTACTCCAGTAAATATTTATTTAAATACTGAACATTTTGGCTACAACATAAAGCTATTCAATTCTTTAACATGATTTCCTATTGGGGCATGGTGTCACCAAATGTCAGTGCATTTTATAAGAAACAAGTTTTTTTTCTTCATCTTATAGGCCTTTCAGAAAACTATTATAAAAAGCTGACTTCATGAAACAGCAGAAAATTAAATGGCAACATAGAAAAATTTCAAACTGCTGTTTTGCTAAAGAATCTCTCTCCCTATAAATATGCTGTTTATAACTTTATAACACTTGTAAAATACTTGCCCCAATCAGACATTTTTGTTCAATCCATTATATCTTGCCTAGTTTTTATCGTTCACTTGTTTATCCAACAACTATAAGAAATATCACAGTTTAGTTTGTATGACTATATATATATATATATATATATATATATATATATATATATTAACTTATTTTTGGTGGGTTTTTGAAACCAAATACAAAATCACTGCTACAGAATACAGTTATTTGTGTAATTAAATATAGCTTTTGTGGCAACTAGCCCCAGTATCCCCTATTCAAAGAATAATGTCAGATGATACATATGTTGGAGGATTGCTACTGAATTTATTCAGTCACTGTAGATGTTGTCTAAAAAAAATTGAGGCACTGTCGTTTCTCTCTATGCAAAACCTTACGAATCATTCAATCCACCTGCAGGGTTTGTTTTGCGAGTGAGAAATTACATCCATATATCAACAACTGACAATACAAGATTCCTGGTTAATAGTCAACAAAAAAGAAATCACTCTAGTGGAAAACAAACACAAATACAGAACTTAACTGGAATTACAGTATATACATGATTAAATAGCAGTGTTCCTGAAATGTCTTGTGTGCCGTTCTTTTATTCCTTTGCTCTGGTTTGTTAATGATTTGTCTATGTAGATGTAAAATATTGAGGACAATTGTCTTGTTTTTTTCAGCACCTCGGCTCACACCATGTACATTGCAAATGTTGAGGCCGCTGCATTCTGTTCTATTCTACTGTGTTGTGTCTAGCTGGTTTAGAAGATTTTCTTTGCGAACAACCCATTAGAATTTGGCATTACTGTTGCCACCCACCTTTTAGAACAGACTTGACTTTGTGTGTATATAATGCCTTACAATGCTAAATAGCTAGAAAACACACTAGATTTCGTTACACAGCTTTTGGGTCTGCTACAATGGTGCACTACTAGGACTAGACTGGATTTCATCTGGAAAATGTTTTTTTTTTTTGAAAATGGTCATTCTTACCCTCATGTTGTTCCAAACCCGCATGATTTTTCTTTTTTTCTTTTTCTTTTTTCTTTCTTGTGGAACACAAACAAAGATATTTTGAAAAATGTCTCTGTACAATAAAAGTCAATGGGGTCAGATGTTGTTTAGTCCCTGATGTTCTTTAAAATATCACTTTACATTAAGATCTTATTTGTTAACATTAAATAGGAGAAATATTTTTTTTAATATTAGTTGATAAAAATAAATACAATTGTCCATTGCTTATGTTTGTTCATAGTGCATTAAAGGGATAGTTCACCCAAAAATGACAATTATCCCATGATTTTCATTTTTGGGTGAACTATCCTTTTATCTAATGTTAACAGATACAACTTTTGATTTAAAAGTTTACTTGTAAATGCTGTAGTAATTTTGTCCAATGTTAGAGCAGTTCATGTAGACAAATTTAGCTAAAGTTAACAAATGAAACCATATTGTAAATTCTTAGGCAAATATGTTTATCTTGCATAGAAGAAATTAAGTCATACAGGTTTGACATGAGGGTGAATAAACTGACAGAATTTTCTTTTTTTGGGTGAACTATCCCTTTAAGAAATACAGTATAGTCACAATCAACATATGACCTTTGGCTTTGAAGAGGTCCACAGGTGTTTGTCAAAGAGCCATGAATGACAGCACACAGCAGTCACCACTGATGGCAGTAGCATATACATTCTACTTTTAATTTCTGTTATTACACAAGCGTCAGCTGGTCAAGACATTGCTACACAGTGGCAACTCCTTGGAATGGAGTCTCCGATCTGCTGGTCAGAAAGTGTAATTGACACCCCACAACATGTCCACATATTTTGACTCTTAAGTTTCAGGATTGGACTTGACCCAGTCTTATTGTAAAAAGTTCCAACTACGACCACTAGAATCTCTATTGAGTCAATGGTACAGGAAGTTCTCATTCACAACATTACTTCAGCCATGTCAGCACAACCCGGCAGATTAACAAGGCTGATGGAGCGTCAGAGGAAGACCACATGAGAGCGGAAACACTTTGTCACTATATACGGAGTAGAAAACAGGTCTGTTGACAATGTCGCACATGGAAACTTCCATTCAAACCCCATCCTGGATGCTGCCGTTAAGCTTCCGAGTGCAGACCCTGGTGTGAGAGGCTCCTTTTAAGGAATAGAGCCCCATCCTGCAAGGAACACAGCGATTAGATCTCGCTCAAAAGCATCTGTCTCTCTGGTCTGAGGTATCTGTCTGCACACCGTCAGTCTCACCTTTTAATTCGGCTGATCTGCTCGCACAGGAAAGACAGGTACTGAGTGAGCTTCACCATGGCAATGATGAGCGTGCCCCCCACCAGTGTGCACGTGGGCCAGAGGAGCGAGCTAATGATGGCCCCGCGGCCGTAGAGACGTGTCAGGAGGACGCTGTCCTGCTGCTCCGAGGGGTCGTAGTAGCACAGAACCTGCTGGTGCGTCTTCAGTCGCTCTGAGATGTTCATCACAATGCTGTGCATCAGCGTGTGGTCCTTGTGGCACTTTGGGATGTAAAAACACTGCAGGGAAAGAAGGAAGTGCATTTACTTGAAAGGAATTCAGTTCAGTTTGTGTACTGCACTGCATCGTGGTCATTCATCATGTTCAGAAACGTACTGTGATGTCATCTTAGGGACAAATTGTGAATTGGTAATTTTAGATAATTACATTAATTAAAATTACATTAACGGGTGATTAGTAAGTGTCACTAGTTTGTCCATATATAAGCAAAGAGACAAGCCAGGATTGATGTCCTAAAGCACTTTTTTTTCTATTTTTTTTTTTGCTTCTGTAAATGTTTGCTCATAAAGATCACAAGCACTTCTAAACCTTGATGAAATTGATGTATGCTTGCTCATAACATAATTTTTTGTCTAATTGAATTCACTTTAATTGAAAATTCTCCACTTTTCTGCAGTACACTCTTAAAAATAAAGGTGCTTCAAAAGGTTCTTCACAGTGATGCCATAGAAGAACCATTTTTGGTTCCACAAAGAACCATTCAGTCAAAGGTTCTTTAAAGAACCATATCTTTCTTACCTTTTTGTAATCTGAAGAACCTTCTTTCACCACAAAGAACCTTTTGTGAAACAGAAAGGTTCTTCAGATGTTAAAGGTTCTTTATGGAACCATTTAGACAAAAAGGTTCTTCTATGGCATCGTGAAGCACCTTTATTTTTAAGAGTGTACCTTCAAATATGTAGATTTTTATTTATTTTTAAAATGTATTTTTGACAGTAAATATATTATTCAAATAACGTAATATACATACATCAAATTAACTAAAATTCATTATATTTTTTTATTTATAAAATTTTATATTTTTGGAAGATTTTGGGTGATGCAATTGTCTCATAATGAAGGAAAAAGACTCAAAATATTTTTTTTTCATTATTTAACTTTTTTTATTTATTTATGTGGTTTGTACACAATGTTTTGTTGAAAAACCCAAAAGGGTGATTAATGTGGTAACTTATCTAAATAATCTGGTTTGTTTCAGGTTCAAATCTACTTTTACTACATTTAACAGAAGCAACCTGATTGGTTAATTCTAATCAGAATCTTTAAAATAACAAGTGTGCATGGTGTCACGGAAGAATTGCCCATGCATCACTATTTACTGGTATATGTGATATATCCCTACAGTTAATGCACATGGTTAGGTGTGGTGTACCTCAGGGTTGGCCTCATGGGCCTCCTCATTGTATGACAGCCGCAGAACTTTGCTGGTGAAGTTCAGACTGACGTATACTTGAAGGCAGGGAAACCTGGAACTCTTCCTGCACTCTGAGCCGCAACTGTAGCTGCAGTTAATCTCAGCAACTATGTTAGACTTCAGCACTGTACAGTTTGACTCTTCTGTCCAAACGCTGAGAGACAAAAAAATGGGCAGAGAAGTAGAAAAAAGTTAAGTAATAATTTATAATGGCGTTAAATGCATTTATCATACCAGATGAAGCGAGATGGCTGGTGGTTAACATGCTGCTGGAGAGCTTCCTACAGTTTCAAATTTTCAAGTGCCTTAATATTGATTAGGTTCAGGTGTGTTTGACTAAAGCTGAAATGAAACCCTGCAGGGAGGTAGATCTAGAGAAGCAGGACTGAGCACACCTGACTTAATGTGAACCTTAACCTGTGGAGAAGTCAAATGACTTGCTAATGAGTGCTTCTTGCATGCTGTTGAAGGGCATATTGGAGGTAAAGTGAGCATAAACTCAAAGGGGATATTTACTTTTTAATTCACATTATTCCAAAAAACAATGTAATAGCAATCTTATTTTATGAAACTTGCCCCACGTCTAAAACAACTTTCCTTTTCCACTGACATCGTCAGTTCCTCTCACTATTTATACCTCTCCCCTCTAGCCTATGTCATATAAAGACCACTTTTCATGATTTCAATCAGTTCTTAAGGAATGAAATCAAGTCTTTTTTACAGAAGTACATTTTAATTTAATGTGTATTTTACTATAACTGTAATTTAATATTTTGCAGATTACGAGTGCCCGTCTTTGGCTTCAGTTTCCACCCTGCTTAAGGTTGTTTGTATGTGTGCAATACAAATCAGTACATCAAATATTAGTACAATATTTGTACATCAGGGTCACCCTCCATATTCACTAGGGTACATAATTTGGCCCTCTGTTGTGGCGGCCGATTACATGCTAGTGTTTGTCTTTGTGCCAGGCCTCTTTCTCCTACTCTATGAATAACAGACCTTGTGTTCTTTGGCTATTCCAAAGGCTCAGCTGCCTCTTTAATTGCCTTTGACTACAGTGTATGCCAGCTCTTATCTGTGTGAAATCTGTGGTGGGTCAGTGGTATTTGGAAGAGCTCTACAGAACTCAATTCGGCTCCTATGTTGTAATGTTCGCTAATCTGCGTGTTACGGACAAAAAGGAATGGAATCGGCAAATGTTTGGTACATTGTGAACAATATAATGAGTGATCATATTAGGGGCATTTCATAAGCAAATGAGGAGAACAATATGAAAAATGCAGTTCTGTTCAGAATGAAATCTTCACAGACTGTGCTGAAGCATTTACACAGAAATTAACATAAATGTAGCAAAAAAAAGTTTTTGTAACTGCAGGGAGCAACTGTTAATTTGATATCATCTTGTCTGACTGCCGTAGTGCATCTATCTATCTAACTGTCTATCTATCTGAAATAGGTATGTAACGGTATGTATGTATGTAACAAAATTATCACGGTTATCAGTATTATCACGGTATTGTTAAAATGTGCTGGAGATGTTAAAAAAAAGTACCGACACATAAATCTCTTCAGCAAGTTTTATATTTAAAAATCAACAAACAACAAATAAAATGACTTTTTGTTTGCATAATCACTAAAACAATAACTACCAATGATTTTAAATGACAACTTGACTGACAACAGTTTAATAGCATGTTGAAATAGCTAATGTAGATGTTCAAATAAAGCTTTGAAAAAGTTTAATAAAAAGGTAAGCCTCACATTTCAGCCTTTAAATAAAGAAAAGATATAAGTCAAAATGATAATTGATTAATAAATGATTATATGTATTTTATCTGCTACATAAATAATTCTATATAACTTATCTGAATTGTTTAAATGTGTAGAATCCACATAAGCTTGTTTTTCATCAACCGGTCAAAATTTACAGCAGGGCATGCAAATTCTGTCCGTTTTTGTCCAGACAGAAACTGCACACAGACTGAATGTAAATATAAGTCTCTGTAAATCCAAAAACTGAATTAGAGCTGTTTCCCGTAACCTCCGTGGAGGTTAAGCTTTGCGAAATTATGCTACATAAAATATATCTGCATGAAACCAAAACCGCAGATGGACTGATTTTGACTCTCTGACAGACTCTCTGTAGTATTTCATTGGTTACCGCTGTAAACAAAGCAGCACTTTTAAAGACTACATAAATATGCATAAGTCTGTTCCCCTCATATAAACTCCCACCCACAATTTAGTACTTAGGACTTTCTTCCAATATTTCGTGCTTCGTGAACAACAGTGACTTTGCTCTGCCTGCTACAGTATTTTCTCCTCTTTGTGTTTGTCTTACTATTCAGTTCAGCGTTTGAATAGGGTGAACTTACTGAATGCCCCTTTAATTCTGTGGTTTCAGTGTATTTTGTGCAGTTCTGTTCTTGAGAAGGTTTCTGGGAATCTTTACCTGTCTGAGTACGAGCGCACCATTGTGATGCCTAACACAAAGTACATCATGGCAGAGAAAAGGATCATGCTGAGGCCTAAGAGAATGGCTCTGTCCTCTCCAGCTTTCAGCGCGGTGACCGTCCTCCTCTTCTCCAAAACATCATACTCCCGAATCTTCTGATAAAAGGTCCTGCTTGAGTTCCATAAGTCACAAGACACATAAGGGGGGTGGGGGGGGTAGATTAATGAAGGCATGGTGTATGCCAAACCTAATATAACAAAATATTGCTTCAAGAATCGTTTCACCAGTCCTTATCACATAAAAAAATGTTTGAGGCAAAGAATTAGGTTTAGTTCAGAACTCCAATGACACACAGATAGCTGCTGCTGTCCTATTATATATGCATAGTTAGTTCCTTTCCAAATATTTAACTCATGATTCTTTAATCATGTTTTGACAGCAGGTCACATTGCTTTTGAAGATTATGCATGTGTGTGAATGCAAGCTGACTAACCTGTCTATCTTTATCAGTGACCTTTTGATAATTACTGTGAGTACAGTGGTCAAAAGCATTACAAACTCACAACCCACTTCCTGTGATTAGTTTACGTCAGAATCCAAGATTAGTTCGATCATTAAAATTACATACTCTGATACTGCTAAATCAGTGTAAAACAGTAGTTATACTTAAAACTGCTAATAATAGTGAGTGAATTTCCGTGCATTAAATAATCTGTGATGCATCAGTTCTAGAATGATGAGAGTAATTTTTATTTAGAATAAGATACATATTTTCTAGGGATGCAAATGTTGGCTGATTCAAGTTTTCATTTTGAAATAAAATTAAAAATAGTTGTAAATGCATTGTCACTTTTATACAGTATATTTCATTCATACATGTTAATTTCCTATATTGTTTTCATTACTTTTGAGCCATTCAATATTCACTTAAAGCTTATTTTTAAATGCACTCATAATATAATAACACTGTTAAATCTCAAAGGGAATATCATTTATTCTGTACAAGTTTCACTTTTAAACAAACGATTTTAGTTTTTGTTGTGTTATTTTTCATTTATTTAGAGAAATTAGTCATTTGTTGGTTATCGACTGTAACAGAATTATTTAATGGTCACTTTTTTTAATAAATAAATGTATTTTTATTTTTATTATATATTTATATTTTTATAATATTTATATTTTATAATTAGATTTTCAATTTATTACTATTTTTGATAACACTTTATGTTAAGGTGTCCTTGTTACACATCGTTACATGCACTTACTATTATAATAACAATAAATTATTCATAATTACATGCAAGTAACCATAAGCCAAATCCTAACCCTAACCATATAGCAAGTACATGTAGTTAATTAATATTACTCAGTACTTAAATGTATAATAATTACACTGTAACAAGGATACCTTAAAATACAGTGTAACCCTATTTTTTACAATTATGTTTATTACCATATTATCCCTCTGTACTTCAGAATGAAATCTTCACAGACTGAAGACATGAATCAACATGAAATCAAACATGAAACCTCCTTACAGAGATCCTAGAAAATGATAGTTTAGCATAGTGCTGTCACAGGTGGTTCAGTTAGTTAGTTAGTTAGTTAGTTGAGTCATTGTATTTTACCTTCTCTCACTTCCTGATCCTTGAGCTCCTTTGCTTCCAGCCCACAGAAACATTCTCCCAGCTATTCCAGTGTGTGCGGCTCTCTCTGAAGCACTCAAAAAAGACTGCTGGGATGACCTAACGAGAAAAAAACACACTTAGTGGACCATGTGCTTCCCTCCACACAGGTTCGTCTGCAAACTGCTCCCAGTGTGAAAAGATGGATGTGTCTTTTTTTCTTTCTTCTTTTTTTTTATATCACCTGAAACTAACAGCCTTCAAAAAAGGTGAAATTTTACAACCACAATATTAAACAAGTGACTTCATCATTGTGGACAAACATAGTAAGTCCAAAAAGAGAATCCATCAGTCTTCAAATAGAGAAAAAGAAAGTTTCCATAATCCTCAGCAGCGAACAAAGTCCGTCTCATGTGGTTGGAACCAGTTCTCGATAAATAAAACTCACTCCAGGCATTGAAATAAGCATCTGCACCCTCATTTCCTGCCTGTTGGTTTGGTATTGACTATTCATGGGCTGGCGAGTGGCAGGGTGGAAAATAATAATGAGAGTAGTGAGCAAGGAGAGGAGGACCATTCACGGCATTGATCCCTTCCTCCAGCCCCGGAGGAGAGAGAGAGTGAGTGAGAGAGGAAAGAGAGAGGGAGTGCCGCTCAAAGCCTCCTCCTCCCCTGCACCCTGTTGCTGATTGGTGTTGATGGAGAGTCCTGTAGCATCAAGGTGACACAGGTGTTTTGGGCCACGCACTTGCAAATGACTGACTGCACATTCCTGCCCTCAGATGCTGTCCAGTCCAGACTCATCACCCAGCCTGTTCTTTTCACAGAGTCTATCATGCGTTTAAATATAAATCTGATGTAAAGAGCTGAGCTTGTGTCATTTGAAAAACTCAAATTATAATCAAGCACTTAATGCGCTAGACACTATATACAGTATATATATATATATATATTCAAGATCTTTTATTTGTCACATACATGGTTATATAGAGAATATATGACCAGTAGTGAAATGTAAGTCAGGTCCGCTCCATGGACAGTGCAATTATTAAAGAATACAAACACAAGAAAATTATATATAAATATAGGTATGGAAAAAGTAAGATAAAAAGAAATAAGAATAAAATAAAATGCGCAGAACAGTATACTGTAGACTTAATAAATATTAAGATGAGCAGGAATGAGCAGCAACCTGTGCAAACAGGTTGTACAGGGTAGTTACATAGCAGCAAGAGAGGTTATATATATATATATATATATATATATATATATATATATATAAGGGGTTGCACCGACTAGTCGACTTCAATGCTCTGCCATGATGCTTTAAGCTTGACGTCGACTAGTCGCTGGTCCTATAGAGGACGCAACAGGATAAGAAATCTTTGAAGGACTTCCACATTTACGCTCAGTTCCCAAACAGTTAAAATGACAAATAAATACTACCTAATTAAAATGAGGGCTTATTTGTTGCATTATATTTCTTCTTTCCGCATTTTTACAGTATTGCGCGTTCTAACCAATCACACATGATTATGCTGAGCTTATGAATGCAATGGCCAATCAGAGGCGTTCAGATCATCACTGAAACAGCGGAGTTCTGTTGTTCAGCGCGTGCTGACTGAATTCTGACTCACAAACTCTCTCCTCATAAACAACAAAGTGCAGAAGTACGTGCAATGTATGCATGTATAAGAGATTTATACATCATACAGTGTATATTCACTGATTTTAACGGGAGTGTTTTTAAAGTGCATAAACTCGCGCTAGACTGAGCTTGTGATGATGTTCTTTGGTAATGTAATGTTCTTTGCTCGTTTTCTGTAGCTGCTTTTTGAATAGCTGAGGAAATGTAAGCATTATAATTAGTAACTTACGAGGTTTCTATTAATTTATCGTTAAATACAATTCAGTCATATTAAACACATTAGGCTGCTTTTAGCCTTAAGCTGGAGATGGTTCAGTTTCTCGCAATGAAACTAAGTAAACAATTACATAAATTAGCACGATAATATCGTGTATCGACAATCTCACAGGCTGACGATATGAATATTGAGCATATCGCCCAACACTAACTTGTACTAGCTTAATACATTGGTATATGATTTAGTGTTGTTAGTAATGATCATGCTAACCATTACTAACATTACTAAATCTTATACCAATGTATTTACAAGGTACTTCAGAAAATCTTTCAAAATACATATTACCAATGTACCAGCTTGACTGACTGAGCAATTTCCAGGTCTGGCTGACCTGCCCACAAAGGTGCAGAGCAACATTTCATCTAAAATGAAGGTCTGAAAAGCAACAGTGAGCAAATCTTTGCCCTGCAGTGGAGAGCTGTAAACGTCAACGATGGGAATATGCCACATATCATATTTGTGCATGTTGACTCTCTTGCCTATGCTGAGTGGGCCGGAGTGCATAAACTCGCGCTAGACTGAGCTTGTGATGATGTTCTTTGGTAATGTAATGTTCTTTGCTCGTTTTCTGTAGCTGCTTTTTGAATAGCTGAGGAAATGTAAGCATTATAATTAGTAACTTACGAGGTTTCTATTAATTTATCGTTAAATACAATTCAGTCATATTAAACACATTAGGCTGCTTTTAGCCTTAAGCTGGAGATGGTTCAGTTTCTCGCAATGAAACTAAGTAAACAATTACATAAATTAGCACGATAATATCGTGTATCGACAATCTCACAGGCTGACGATATGAATATTGAGCATATCGCCCAACACTAACTTGTACTAGCTTAATACATTGGTATATGATTTAGTGTTGTTAGTAATGATCATGCTAACCATTACTAACATTACTAAATCTTATACCAATGTATTTACAAGGTACTTCAGAAAATCTTTCAAAATACATATTACCAATGTACCAGCTTGACTGACTGAGCAATTTCCAGGTCTGGCTGACCTGCCCACAAAGGTGCAGAGCAACATTTCATCTAAAATGAAGGTCTGAAAAGCAACAGTGAGCAAATCTTTGCCCTGCAGTGGAGAGCTGTAAACGTCAACGATGGGAATATGCCACATATCATATTTGTGCATGTTGACTCTCTTGCCTATGCTGAGTGGGCCGGATCACAGGACGATGAATTAGATAAGAGGCAGAAGCAGACAGGAAGCACTGACCCAAGGAAACCCATTGTCCCCACTGCACCCAATAAAACAGCTGCCAAAAATGCCAGGGCAACGTGGCACCGAGAACCACATCCAGTGTTTTTAACATAGAATGGCTGTCTTTAAAAAGCTTGGTATGGCCTGGACAGTTGTTGGTATTTGCCCTTCTGGTCACCTTAGCTGGGTAAGTAACGCCTTACAGGGGCCTTTTTTGTCGCAAAAAAGCACAGACATCTGGCATTCACCCAAAACAGCTGGAACGTTCATCCAATGTGGCTGCGCATGATGGGATTTACTAAACCCATATTGTCACTGCAGTGATTTATGAGCCATTGTTTATACTCCACATTAGCTTGGTGGGAATAAAATCATGAAAAACTGTTTTTTCCCCCTCCCAGTAGTGCAACAATAGTTTAGACGTTTTTAAAAATTCCAAAAGTTACTAGCTACTTCCAGTTTGTTCAGAAATTGATTCACTGATTTCCTGAAGTCCCTATGCTGCATTTTAGATCTTTTTTTTGTAACATAATATATAGTCACACACTGATATGTCATGCATACAGCGTCAGACATGGACAGATTTTCTGGTACGCAAAACAAGTACTTTAAAAGGAATTCCTTTAGCCAACAACAGCACAACTTAACCCTGCACACATTTTTATACACTGAAAAAAATGATGCTACATTTTTTTAAGGTAAGTGGTTGCAAACAATTTGTTTTAGCTACATTTAAAAAAAAAAAAATTACTTAACCCTGCACACATTTTTATACACTGAAAAAAATGATGCTACATTTTTTTAAGGTAAGTGGTTGCAAACTATTTGTTTTAGCTACATTTAAAAAAAAAAAACTTGTTGAGAGTTAGTCAACTAAATTTGTTTATTTAAATGTAGCTAAAATAAACTGATCTATGAATTGATCTTTTTTATACCCCATTTTAACATGGATTTCTATGGAGACCGGCCGTAGCTGTCGGGCAAGATGGCAGAAAGCAACGGCGGCAGATAATATCTGCTTTCTGATCGGTCAGGTCGCCTGTCAATCATACCCCATGCGAACGGTCAATAGAGGGTATGCACTGATGTCACTTTCCCGCCGGAACACACCCCCTCAGCCGGACTGAGTGGCAAAAGAGCTGCAGCGTGAATGGATTTAATAGGGAAGCTGCTCGAGTAAAACAAATGATAATCAGTTTAAACAGTTTAAACTGTAAATTGATTGCAACCACTTACCTTAAAAAAATGTAGTAAATTCAGTGGATAATTTTTTTCAGTGATTTAGTTATACTGAAAAAGTTTCAATTCAGTTGATCTTTTTTATACCCCATTTTAACATGGATTTCTATGGAGACCGGCCGTAGCTGTCGGGCAAGATGGCAGAAAGCAACGGCGGCAGATAATATCTGCTTTCTGATCGGTCAGGTCGCCTGTCAATCATACCCCATGCGAACGGTCAATAGAGGGTATGCACTGATGTCACTTTCCCGCCGGAACACACCCCCTCAGCCGGACTGAGTGGCAAAAGAGCTGCAGCGTGAATGGATTTAATAGGGAAGCTGCTCGAGTAAAACAAATGATAATCAGTTTAAACTGTTCCTTACATCTTAGCAAATATACAGTGGTCCATGGATATCGATATGCAGCCAGGAATCGTGTTTTCTGACATTTATATGTGCCTGACTTTGATGCTGGGGAAATAAATAAACCAGATTTGCCGGGGAACGCATTTTGTAAATACAAAATAGGTTGGTCGAAATCTGGGATGTTCTATATATCATCATATTATCCATCCCAAAAACTAATTTAGTTTTTGTCCGTTTTTATTTAAAAACATCCAGTTATGCAGAATATAAGATGGTAAATATTTAATTGATGAGTTGTCAATACGATATATAACAATTAGGGATGCACCGATACGATACTGGTATCGGTATCTGGCCCGATACTGAGCTCCTGTACTCGTACTCGTTAAAATGCCCCGATACCAAACGCCGATACCACACAGCATGTGATAAGCGCCATATTCAGACAAAGAAACACCGACAACAGAACAACAGACAGCAGAATGGAGTTAAGGATGTCTACTACGAAGTATATGTATGCAATGAATATAACGTTAAACATTCAGTGTTAACGTCTGTATAGCTGATGTTCGCGAGCTGATAAACAAAGCACTCTTGAGTGGATTGAGCGCGCGGCGGCGCAGATGCGCGAGCTTGTCGAGTGAATATGCCTTTCTCACAGACATCACTGGAAAGTTTGTAGTTCGGTCGGATGTGTCAAAAACAAGTAAGTATAACAATGCACAAGTTACTTAACGGTAGGGAGAGAGAGAAAGATAGAGAGAGAGAGAGCGCGCGCACTTCTGTTGCGTGATCTTTGATGTTCACTTACTTAGCACATGCATAATTTGGATTAAAACTAAATCGTAAAAATAAGACCATTTATATGGGCATTCACTATAAACATCATTTATTTTCAACCTTAGGCATACACGACTTTCTGGCAAAAGTGAATCTAGCAGCCTGTGTGAAATGCGCTAGGCTGTACTATGCTGCATCAGTACAAATACCTGCACGCTTTGCGCATGTTTTGCTTGCTGGAGTGTTTCTGCATTATACGAGTGGCTTTGGAATATAAATCGCAGCACGTTTCAGATGAAAAAACGTGACT